TATATATATATAAAAGAAAGTATACAGTTGCTGTTTATTGTAATGTGTCATGAATTTATTCATGCGGACTTGTAAAGTTACCGAAAGGTCCACTTTAAAGGCTTTTAGAGCAGGCATGTTGAACTCAAATGAAACAGTGGGCTGCACTGAGTGGAATTAATCTTCAAGGGGCTGCATTATGTCTATTGAGAGGCCATATCTACTTAACTCCAGAAAAATTATAGCACTTCAGTACTTAATATTTTTGTAGCAATTGCAAGTTACAAAATGTTATCCCAGAGAAAGGGGCCATAAAACATCTCCTGGAGCAGCTGTAAAGCAGCTGGGACCTCATTCAGTTTTAATGCTTCAACCACTATGAGCCCTAGATGAGTTGGTCGCATGCAGCACTAAAAGCACTGGACATGTCTGGTTTACACTGTTTACCTGAATGGGATTAGCTTAATGCTGAAGTTTAATTGGTTTATATTTTGCCTTCTCTGGTTCCTCCTTTCCATCTTCATCAACATGTTTATGATATTATTAAATAAAACCTTTCCATTTTCATAATATACTTTATTTTAGATCCAGTGATGTCATCAATGGGACTTTGTGCTTCTCTGTGCAATGCAGGTGTTCTATCAAAGATTGTGACCGGTCACGTGCTCACACATTTTAACGTAATCCCGCCCAGTTTTTCGACGGTGGAATGTGTGACCGCCAAAAGGTGAAGAATGCCAAAGCTTTTTCAGCTGTTCCAGGGCAGATCGGCATCACAGGTTGTATGTGCAGGAGAACCGATCTGCCCTGGAACAGCTGATCGGTCCTGAAATGTCACCTCTATCTGACTTTGTGAAATGTAAGATCGCACTCACAAAGCCGGATAGAAGTGACATTTCAAGACCGATGACTGACAAAGCATTGGAATGCTTGACCTATTGGTGGTCACACATTCCACCGCCGAAAAACTAGGCGGGATTACGGTAAAATGTGTGACCACGTGACCGGTCACACATTCCACCGCCGAAAAACTAGGCGGGATTACGGTAAAATGTGTGACCACGTGACCGGTCACACATTCTAACGTAGTCACAAACTTTGATAGAACACAGGCAGATCATGGCTGGTGGGAGGGGCTGGCAGAGTGCTGTACATAGCTTCCTAAAACATCACAGCACCCTGCTTCAGTACTCCTATCAGTGACGTGCCGTGCCTTCTGTGCTGGGTGAGTTATCCCCCAGCCCGCCGAAGCTCCGCCCCTGCCCTGCCGACGCTCCTCCCCGTCCCACCAAAGCTCCGAATATATGAAAACTATATTCGGGCATACATAAATTCGTTTTCAGAACGCGCTGCGCATGCCTGCCTCTATCTTGGAGGCGGAGCGTATTATGTCACATGACGGTGACGTCACACTCTGAATGAGCGGTGGCCATATCAGCTGCCGGCGCATTGCGTATCGCCATTTTGGAGTGTATCTTGGTATACACCAAGATACACTCCAAGATGGCACCGCGCATTAGAAGAACGCGCCAGCAGCCGATATGGCTGCTGCTCGCTCTGCAGTTTCAGTGTGCGATTTCGGATTCAGTGGCTCCTTGCCTCCGAATCCGAAACAACATAAAAATGTGTTTCCTTTGACAAAACGAATGAAAATGTTCACACCAACCCCCCCACAAGTTAATACTCTCCACATGCATACATTGATTACTTTCCTGCTTCCTTGACTCCAAGAGTCTGCCCACACTGTGTGTAAGGAAAGGGTTCTTGGCTGATGTAGTTCTGGTGTTGTGCCTGGATCAGTAGGAAGTGACCTCCTAGCAACTGACCCTGCAAAAATATGACAAGCCTGGTGTCAATTTCACATTGTTTAATAAAAGCTGGTCCTTGCTACAGGAACAAGGTACAAGAAACAGTGCATGCTGGCAAATGGTGTAGAGGGGGGTTTGGAGTAAATTTGGGTAATGCCTGGACATACACTTAAGGTATAAGTTGTCTTTGAATGATGCAAGGATGATTTTCAATGTTTCCACCATCTGCAGGTTACACTTGATGGAAAGAGAAAAGGCGGAACAAAAAAACATTGGCTGTGAGAAAAAGCTCCAGGAGACTATTGACCGATTGTCCTGCTGCCTGAGCGTGAATGCTGAGATACAAGAGGATCCCCTCAATGTTTTGGTGACAAAGGTAATTCCCATAACCCAAGGCAGAAGTCTTAGTTCATTTTCCATCAGTCATGACATCATACAGATTCCGATAACCCCAGGCAGCAGTCTAAGTTTATCTTCCATCAGTCATGACATCATACAAGTAAAGCCGGTCACTTCTGTAGGGCACATATTAGAAGAACCTAGTGCTTGATTAGTAGTATGGCCACCCCAATCCAACACATTGACTTCAGGGATTAGCTGGGCCTGATAACAGGTGGCAACACTGTAGACTAGGCTTATGAGCATCAAGTAGATTAAAAGTGGCCCTAGACTTATAAGAGCAGTTGGATATGTAAAGGTGGCCATACACTTTACAACCATCGCAAGACCTTAGTCTTGCGATGGTTGTAAAGTAATTAAAAAAACGTATGATCTGCCCATCTTGGACAGGCAGATCGTACTTGCGATCATTGCAAGCCCGCCCCCTGAGGGACGGCTTCCAATGACCGCAATGCTGAACGAGCAGTGTGCGCGTGCGCACACCGGCCCGTTCGGCATTTGTCTCCCGAGCATCATTCAAACCAGCCGAGAATCGTAAGATTTTCGGCTGGTTTTCTAGCATGCTCCTTAGACAAAAGACGTGCGACCGTACAGTAGAAACAGTCGCACGTCTTCATTCAGACTGCACGATTCTCGTACGATCGCGGGATTTCCCGCGATTCTCGTACGAGAATCGTGCAGTGTATGGGCACCTTAGTACGATCCTATTGCATGGAGACACTTGATTGACTTTTAACCAACTCTAGAACATATGTTAATGTGTTAAGGCCCTGCACTGGTGGAGGAGGAGGCGGGCCCGGCGGTGGAGAAGGCTGACAGCAGATCAGGGCTGACAGGTAAGAGGTGGGCAGGGGTATGACCAGCCCACCTGAGACTCTGCAGAGCCCACCATAGAGAGTCTACGGTGGGCTCTGCAGGGTCACTCTCAGGTGGGCTGTGTGGGATCTCAGGAGGGCTCCGCAAGGAGCGTAGCTAGAAATCACAGGGCCCAATACAATATTTTGCTATGGGGCCCTGTGATTTCTAGTTACGCCCTTGCTTTGCAGTGATAACTATAGAGATGATGTATGAAAATTTTGCAATTTTGTATGTCCATGAAAACCAATCAGAATTTTTCCTTTAGCCATCTTTTCATGTTTCTCGTATGTGTATCCTAAGTGTAGTCTTTTCCAGGTAGAAAAGATGGTGAGAGAATGTATTTTGCATAAATCCAAAGTGACAAGCCTTGAAGACACCCTGGCCAGCCAACAAACGGAGTTTAAAGCCAGCCGGGATACCATAGTCAAGCTGGTATCGGAGACGGAGAAACACAAGAAAGCCATAGCCAACTTTCCAGCAGAGCTTAAATTGCTAAAACAGGTGAGGAGCGCTCCTGTGTTTGTCTCTTGTCCCCGACACAGAACAGCCACAACACTGAAGCAAGGTTTGTTCCTTGTCCTTGTTTCCACATTGAATGACACAGTGGGTCTCCATAACCCAAGGTTCCTCCTTACAGCTGTGGATGTCTGCGGATAAATGATCAATTTGACTGTTTCTTCTACAGATCCCAGGGTCATATTTCATGTAATTTTATTGCTTTGCAGATATAACTGTGCCTATGACCCACATTGTCATGAGTTGGGTCACACTTCAATCTCACATGATGTGTTATTTTCCAGTAAAATATAGAGGATGTTGTGTTACTGTAAAGCCAAAGTTTCTTGCCCTTGTTTCTGTAATATGTGATTTTGTTTGGAAAGGATGGGTACATGGCGTACACTACTATATTTATTAATGGAAAAGGTTAAGACCTTTCTCTTCAACTGAAACTCCAGCCATTTTTTAGATGTGAATAGAGTAGGTGAAGAGTTAAAATGCTCCTTCCTGTTTTTATCACTGTATGTATCCTCACTGGAGGAGTTTTCCCCTCATAGGAAGTGAGGGCATTCTCCACTATGAGGGTCACATACTGTGATACTCCTCACACCCCTCGGCGGGGACAACGAGCCGTGCACGCCACTGCCCAGGGCCGCTGCGAGACTCCTCCCACTCTCGTACGGCGTCCGGCGATGTCAATGCGCAGGCGCGCCTCGAGACTCCGCCCACTCACCCGAGTAGTCCGCATAAAGCCGCGATCCACCGTTTGATCGGCGTCCCACTATTGTTGAAGCAGGACGCTGATCAAACCAACAGCCCTGCTACTCCAGGATCCACCACTTGAAAGAGATTGCTGCTGACGTCCCTCCATTACAGTAATAAAAAGCCGAAAGAGATTCAAACCCTCCAGCACATTACTGTCCGTGCAGTTGCAGAGATTATCCTCATTTCCTCTGTGGTCACTGTGTGGACATATCCCCAGTGCTGCACAGACAGCTGTTGAAAAGACTGAGGTTCTAATCTTTCTCCACTCTAAGCAAAACTAGAAAAGTGGAGTTGGAGTTCAACCACTTAAGGACTTGTGATAAATATATCTCTCTATCTCATCTAGGACCTCAGTTAAGCCTTCAGGGATAGATAGATAGATAGATAGATAGATAGATAGATAGATAGATAGATAGACAGACAGACAGACAGACAGACAGATGCCCCCAGAATATCTGCCTTTCCATTGTACACACTGCCACCAGAACTGCTAAAGTTTCCTCTGTGTGAGCAAAAACTGGTAGGAGCAGCTCCTGCCATCCTGATTGCCCTTGCCCTGTTACAATCATTGATTGCACCAGTGTAGCACTCGCACATCATTGCAGGCTGATGTTTATATACAACCCAATAGATAGATACAGATGCATAGGTATGCTCCCTAATAGATAGATGAAGATGTATATATACAACCCAATAGATAGATAAAGATGTATAGGCATACACCCCAATAGATAGCTAAAGATGTATAGGCATACACCCCAATAGATAGGTAAAGATGTATAGGTATACACCCCAATAGATAGCTAAAGATGTATAGGCATACACCCCAATAGATAGCTAAAGATGAATAGGCATACACCCCAATAGATAGGTAAAGATGTATAGGTATACACCCCAATAGATAGGTAAAGATGTATAGGTATACACCCCAATAGATAGGTAAAGATCTATAGGTAATTAGGTATACACCCCAAGCGATAGATACAGATGCATAGGTATACACCCCAATAGATATACACCCCAAAAGTCTCATCTGTGTAAGCAATAGCTGTTGATAGTTTTAGCTAACCAGGTGAAGGCATGTGTGAGAGCATCGGTCGGGCTCTCCAGTGTGCTGCCAACACAGGGCAGCTTTTCTTATACTAAACACACATTATAAATATGAAAAAATGCCATTATCTTTTTACTTGTTATTCAGTCACAACCATTGTGTGACACCACAAAGTAGAAAACGGAGCCTGGGTGTTTAATTGACCAATATGGCTGCCCCCCTCCTTGTACATATGAATTGAACATAGAAACAAGGTTCTTTTAAAACATTAGCGATCAGTTGATTCACATCGGGCTGATCTATTTTACATGCTGATCTATAAGCAGCAAAGTCTACACATTCCCTTCACTGTGCTATATCTTGCATTCAGGAGCGAGACGAAGCCGTTCTAGCCAAGAGAAATGCTGACAGAGAAAAGGAAATTCTTCAAGAGAGAGTGAAGGACAACCATAAAGAATGGGGGAGCCTGCGCCAGGAACTGATGGAGAGGGAGCAGAAGATAAACGATCTGGACAGGACTCTGCATACTTCCGGCTACGAGGCTAAAGCTGCTCACAGCTTGCACCAGAGTTTCATAAGTCAGTTGGCCACCATCCTCGGCGGTGGATTTACAGCTGTTCCCAGAACCGAGGAAGACGTGAAGGAGCGGATCCAGGAAATGTGCCGCAGTGAGCACACATGGAAGTCTGTGAGTGAGATGCACTGAACTGTGCTGTATGAATAATTCACATTTTGCACAGCTTAGGGGGGAAAAAGTATATTTCTAGACCAGGGATGGGCAAACTCCGGCCCTCCAGCTGTGGTGAAACTACAAATTACATCATGCATTTGTCTCTGGGAGACTTTCCTGTGGCTGTGAGAATCTTGCAATGCCTCATAGGATTTGTAGTTCCACAAGAGCTGGAGGGCCAGAGTTTGCCCACTCCTGGTCCAGGCAGATAAAAACACCAATTCATGCAGATGCCTGTAAAAAAAACATTAAGAGGTCTATTTATAAACAATTTGCCGAGCCATTGGCCCTCCAAATCCCTCTGAATGTTTGTTCTGTGTGAAATGATGCACAAAACAGATGTTTTTCTTACATTTTCCTTATAAAATGATTGCATTTTCAAATGATATCTTGTAATGCAGCATTATGGCCACTAGGTGGGGCTGTGGAGCATAGGAAATAAGTATTCATTATATTTGCTCCTCAGCTCCATCTAGTGGCCATAATGCAGTATTATAAGATGACATTTTTAGTGTATTTTAAAAGCATACACAGAAGATTGGTTTTAGAAGAGATTTTTAAGGCACCCATAGACTCTTTCAATTCATAATAAAAAGCATAGACTTTATTTACAAATTTGGCTTCCTTCCAATTAATTGATATCTTTTTAAGTGTAAATATTTGCAAATAAAGTCTTTGCTTTTTATTATGAGTTGAAAGAGTCTATGGGTGCCTTAAAGTATGTTGTTCTTCTAAAAAACAATCTTCTGTGTGTACATTTAGTTGGGATGTTGCACCATAACTGACATGGTTCTTTCTCTATAAATTGTATTACTGTATTTTAAAAGCAACACGTGTAAGTACCTGAATTTGACTTGGTATTAGAATCTTCCACTGCTCTGTACTGTACAGCAGCACAAGGAGCAAAACAGGTGTGCTGTAGTGTTCATGTGCTAACAGGGAACATGACGACAGGAGGAGAAAGCAGAATGAGAGATGAACTCATCAGTCTGTTGCTTATGACACCTGTCAATGTCATTTATGTCACCTGACTGTGCAGCCTTCTGTGATAGTTTCCTTATCATTGTCCATTCACAGGCTGGGCTGGCCCTAGACCCGGCTGTATTGACTGCAGTGTAGTCCAAGGAGAGGTCCAGGACCTGGCTGTTCTGTCTAGCATTGGAACCTGGGCCACAGGACTGGCTAAACAAAATAACAAATCCTTCAATTTTGCATTTAGCTGTTTTGCCTTAACCACTTCAAGACTGCCGTACATATATACTGTATATAATGTCCTGCTGTAGCCATGATCTTGGTATGTTTTTTCAGCAAGTGGAGCACTTCAATGTACAAGTGATCCGGGCGGCTGTAGAGCCGCCTGTTCACTTCTACTCACCTGTGAAGGTGCCGCTCCACCCCCTGCCATGGTTTCCAGGCTCTTCCACTCCTCTGAGTGGCCTGGGACCTAGGCAGATGCACTCAGGATGGAGAAATAAAAATAAAAAATAAATAAAAGCAACCCCGCCACCTGCATTCTGATGCAAACACGCGTGTAGGCATGCACAAGTAGGTAAAGAGCGACTGTGCCACACGTTAGGTATCACCACAAACGTCAGAGTAAGATCAATAATTCTAGGGACATAATTCACTGTTAACTCTAAACTTGATGAGCAGTAAAGGCTTTTAAGCGTCGCCGATGGTCAATTATGAGGGCCAAAGTTTTTCACCATTGCCGGGCATGCAAAATTTTAAGGCTTGACATGTTTGGTATCGATTTACTCATCATGTTTGGTTTCTGTTTACTCGACATGACCCCGACTTTTATATTTTTCAAAAAAATTGGTATTATATTGTGTTTATGAGCACTAATATATTTATTTGTGTGTATTTGTGTTATTCTACAGGGCTTCTGCTTTCAGAAAATATATTGTTTGGGCTTTAAAGTCACTTTCTATGTACAAATTCAGATTTAAGCATACGTGTGCAAAATGAAAAAACAAACAAACAATGCTCTGGTCCTAAGGTGGTTAAATAGCAGGCTTAGCTTGCCAGTATAAATGTGTTTTAAATAGTTTCCCTTATTCCGCATTCCTGCAGACATGTGAGGAGCTTCAACAGAAGATCAACAAGCTCACCAAACAACTGGAGCAACAGCGGGATTTGTACCATGAGGCCATGGCAAAGTCCTACAAAGCTGAAGAAGTGCTACAAGAACAGCAGGATTCCATGAAGCATTTACAAGGCAAACTGGCTTCAGAAGAGATGATCAAAGATGGTTTTAATTCTGAGAGGAAAAGGGTAGGCGAATAGATGACGTGTCTGTGTTTTTATACAGCACTCGGTTGCTCTACAAAATCTAACAGTATTAGGGCCCTCCTGACATCTACTGAAACACCAGAATGTTATAAATGCAAAGTATAGTGCAGCTATGACGAACCTATGGCATGCCTGACACAGAGGGCATGCAGAGGCCCCCCTGGTGGCACGCAAGCCTGTTTGCCGGGGCCCGCACACTCCAAGTTTCCACCTGGGGTGCTCCGCGCAGACCTCCAGTGTCCCACCAGTCTCCGCGTCATATTAATTTTTAAAGATGGCTGCCACCATCTTTATAGATAAATGCTTAGGAACAAACAAAGCCGTCCCATGTTGAATCAGGACGTATACAGTTGCTTTCTGTTGGTTGAACTCGATGGATGTCTTTTTTTTTCAACCTAACTGCGTGTATATGTATATCTGAAGCAGATATGTGCATATACAACAATTGGGAATAATGATAATACAGGGGCCATGAGACACCTGGCTCATGACATAGCAAGCAAGTCATGGGCTAGAGACACTTTTTAAAGTGTATCTAAATCCAGAACCTAACACGGAGGAGGGTTAGAAATGTTGTCAAGCTTTAGTGGTCTCTGTGTCCCTCCAGTGGGAAGATTCGCCTTCATTGGTTCTGGTGACCATTGTTGACAGGGCTGAATGTGAGAGTAAATTGAAACTCTTTTTTGCCAGAGCCAAATAGAGAGGAAATCTTCTAAATGCTGTTTTTAAGTCTCTCCAATGGAACCCCAGACTGCCATTAAAGCCCAACAGGACTTCTAATCCTTCCCCAATCTAGCCAAAACCTAAAAATAATAAAATAAAGGAAAAAAGTTGTGTTTGGACATACACATTCATTTATTTCATATCATGGAGACTTCAGAGGCAGAAGTGGGAACACCAATCACTGAAACATCGCCCAGAATGATGGCAGGAAGATCTCACAACATACAAAGCCATTCACAACTCTGCCCCTAGTTATATCACCAAAGTCATCTCATAATAATATCACCCAAACCTTCCTCTCCGCTCCTCCCAAGACCTCCTACCCTCTAGCTCCGTCATCACCTCTTCCCATGTTTGCCTCCAGGACTTAACCAGAGCTTCTCCCACCCCCTGAAATGTGCTACTTGAACCTATCTGAGTATCTCCTACTCTGTCTGCCTTTCAGACCTATTCAGGGAAGCCTATTCCACCTCCTCTATGTAAAACTGTACATCTACTCCTTCAATCAGCTTACTGGAGTTACTGTATTACCTTCTGTATCACTTGCCCCTTCTAAATTGTAAACTCTCATGGTCATAGTCTTTCTAATTCTCTTGTATGGTATTGTATTGCAACTGTACTGTCTCTCCATATTTTGTAAAGTATGGGTGCAATACAAATCCTGAATAATAATAATAATAATAATAATAATCTCACCATCAGAGTCCTCAAGAAGCATAAGAAGCCAAGGGGTTGTGTATCCTTATACCAGGCTTCACTTAAAAACAATTACCTTTTTGGTGGACTCACCTTTTAAGAGTATATACATTTGCTCATGCACTAGACAATGCAGACATGCAAAATTTAAACCGTACCACTTTTGTTATTTCTAAATAACATGAAACCAAGGGGTAGTTACGGAGAATGCAGAATAATTTACTCACATAAATACAGCACTAAACAATTATAACATATTTTAAACATCTCTACAAATCTTAATCAATTTTCAGAGTCAAAGTACCTTCCATCCACATCTTCAGAATATAGTTATCACCTTTTCACTCTTAAAGTGGTTTACAAGCTATTTAATCTGTGATTTCAGTGTATCATTTTTCAGCTCTAACAGCGTGGCTGACACCAAAATTATAATAACTTCTCAACACACAAGAGATTTCGAGATGACCTAATACTCAAGAAAATAGGTTTTTAAAAGGAAAAAAAGACCTCTCATGAAAGAGGTTAAATAATAATTGTGCCAAGCTTTGCTTATTTAAATGTTCTTGAATTATATGTATTGCATCTTGTAGTTAATTAACTATCTATATAATAAGGACATAAGGAGTAACTAAAATGACTCAAGTGATTCTAGAAAAAATATGCTTGTATCATGTTATTTATCATATATATGTATGTGTAGATATATACATATATATATATATATATACACACACACGTATACTCTCTCTCTTCCCATCTCC